GATAGTTAAGCAAGTTAAGGCTGGCTTTTATCAGTTTTATTTTACCATAACTATTGAATATAATTTAAAACTCATTAATATATATCATAGACGCTATAGCTTGGCTTCACTTTAAGATTATCTTATTTTATGTGAGGTTCAAAGAAATGTTTTTCTTTTCAAAGGTAAAATAGCCTCAACATTTGATCTCTCTTAGAAAGATACTCTGAGTGCAGTCTATTCTTTGGAAATAATATGGACCTAGATAATCTTGAAAAATTCCTTTATCTTCCAAAATATATACTTTACAACTAAAGTACTAAGTTGTATTTGTACCAAGGATTACAATGACCCTTTGCATGATTATTTTTCGCTTATCTCCATTAAGTATAACATGTTATAATACAAAGTAATAATAACCATAAGGTTTTGTAGATCAATTGTAAATAACAAAGACTTTTCATCAAGAAACCTTCACATCTATTCAAGAGGAGATTTCTCTGTGATACAGTTCATTTTTCAGATAAATGAAAATGATGCAAAGGTTATTTTACCTTGAAATGGGTAATGCAAGACAAGCCATTTGTGAGACTCTTCTGTCCTCAATTGAAACCTGGATGATGACCACATACTCTCCATTTGGTTCTTTAGACAGATCTCCTTTTCAAACCTTTCTCTCTCCCTTACAGTTAACATTTGGTAATAAATGCTACCAAGGCATTTTGTGGTTTTTCGCTATACTACTGTAGTTAAGGATGTGGCTGTGTTTCTATTATAAACATAAGTTTTCAGGAATTTATAATTTGTTTTGAGTAAAAATTTAAAGATGTTACTTTGCATATTGGATTTCAATGGTGTATTTGTATTTTCTGATTTTTATGAAAAGTAGGATTGACTATATTTGCTTATTACATACTATCTTCCATTTAAGACTCCAACGTGCATCCACATGCATATAAAATTGGCATGACAAATAGTCATATTTTCTGGAGATCTCAGATGTACCCCACAGAAATTAAGTGACTTAGCTAGGGTTGCAGAGTAAAGGGGCCGCTGAGGTAAATGAGGTTTTAGTCAGAATCTACATCAAGAGGCACCTATCTTCCACTTAGTTGTTCTCTTTCAGAAGTGGAAGGAGAACACTTCTTCAGTGTATTTTTTTTCTCTTTGATTACTCTGGTTGACACCCTAAACATTAATTTTATAAATGTAGTCAAACTTGCTTCCTCTTTCTGTTTCTGAGAAGCCACTTCATTGTACAGCTATTTAGGCACCGTGACCAAAGGAGATAAGCGTGGCAGGTAGGAAAGTCAGAAACTGAGTGTGGTCTCTATGGTTAAGAAAGCACAGCCCACCTGACTGTAGTCAGGGTAAGGAACAAACTAGATTTAAAGAACTGGCTGATGAGAACAAGGTATCACACTTGTACCGAGAAGAATATTGAAGCAGCATGGAGCCCCCCTGTACAGCAGGACAAAAACACAGAGAACTGGGAAGGCTTGCTGGGCAGTGCATGTAGCAAGCAACTTGGAGAAGTTAAGCAGCAGGCAGCATTTCGGCCTAGTTCCTTGGATGAGATTTAACAAGAACCAGGTAGCCCAGTCCATCAAGGATTGACCCTTCAAGCAGGCTGCTAGAGTAGGGGCTTATGTAAGAAGAAAGTGAAGTGACACTAGGCTCTAGGTTAGAGCCTAGACCTTGGGGACAAAGGGGAGTTCTAATTATCAGTACCAGACTAGATAATGTAAGCAACACACACACACACACACACACAACCCACCTAGTAAATAAATTAGTTTCCAATGTTGACAGGGCTATGGAGATGGAACAACATGTCCATTTACATTCAGTAATTATTCATACATTTGTTTGTTTATTTAACTTCATACTCACTTTGTTGTTGTTTTTTAAGGCACACATGGTTAACTAGGACTTTAAGAGTTAGGTTGTAAATTTGAGAACTAAAATTGAATCAGTTCTTATTGAAGAATAAATGATTAGCTAGACAGTTGTAGCATGACTATCCTCAAATTGAAACTTTTTTTTTATTTACACGCAGAAAAGGCAAAATTATTAGTAAAATTGATACTCAAAGTTAAAGGATAAAGATTAAATATGTGTGTTTAGACATTAAAACCGAACATTTGACTTATCACCTTATGAGCTTTGAAAAGTGGTAAAGTCAAACACCAAAAAGTGGTTAAAAATGCTTATTTTTAAAGTCCTCACACTTGAGAGTCTAGATTTCCATATAGTTTTGTTTTCATTTTTTATTGGGTAAGAATACTACTTGTTTAATTTGTGAATATCACATTGTATTTTTATTTGATAGCACTGTCATTTCAGGGCCTCTTCTTCTGTCTCATAAACATTAGGTTTTATTATCATTGAGTTTTAGTAACAATTCAAAATAATTACCGTGCACTTTAGGAGAAATCTTTCTGAAATATTGGCATTATGACTCATGATATTAAGGAATATCCTTGCCAAATGCCCAACCATAACATGGCTTTGACTTGATCTGCAAGTTGGCAGTAGAAAAGAACTTCTGTAGTACTTTTATATTAGCTAAGTGCCATGTCTACTAAAATTATTTAATATGTTACTGTAACCTACTTATGAAAACAGTAGTTTTGATGAACAGTATATAAAATGTAGGATCTATTTTAATGCTGAAGTGTCCCACAGCACACAAATGCCACATTACAGAGGATCTCCCCTTCTGACTCTCTAGAGATCATCAAATGTCTCCAAAAGCAACTTGAACATATGTCAGTTTTTTTTTTTCATTTACCTCTTCCCATATTATTGACTATTAATTCAATTTTAGATGTTTGCCTAACTTACATTTTGACCATTGTAGAGTGATATCTTTGTAGTAATTACTGGTTTATTATTCTTCAGTGGTCGGGGTAGGAAGTTATATTTGCAGCCTTTGACATCTCCTGAAAGGATTTTCAAGGTCACTTAAAAGTTTTTGTTTGATTCCTGGTTTGTATCATGACATCTAGAGTGGGTCAGTAGTTAAAAAAAAAATCTCCTGATTTTGGCAAACCATGGGAAGTTCTCAAGTGAATATATCGAGAACCTGCACTCTGGGTCTAAGGAATGGACTGCATAAATCTAGAAGGACGACATGGGTGAAAAAGAGCTGGGGTTCAGCTATCTGTTCAGATTTTGTGAATCAAGAGTGTGGGACAACTGCCAGGAAAACTAGGAGACAGGAGAATGGGTTGGCAGGGAGAATTCCCAGGAAACAGGAGAGAGGCTTGTGTCTTACCCTGTACTCCCAGGCTCAGCCTGGCGTCTTGGGGTCAGTTTGGGGTCCTCTGCTTAGCTGTATAAATTTTTAAGTGTTTAAAATTGGAGATCATTCAAAGACAAGTGGTCAGAATGAAGAGAAAACTTGAAACCATGTTTACACAAGGAAGAGCTGAAGGAACTGGGGATGTTTATTCTGGAGGAGAGGGTACAGAATTGCTGTCTTAACAGACATAAAGGGCTGTCATGTGAAAGAAAGGTTAGATTTATTCTGCTGCCTCTGAGGGTAGAATAAGGGACAGAGGGCAGGTTTTGGCTGAGTATAGGAATAACTTTCTTCTAGTCACAATGTCCTTAGTAGGAGGACTGTCTCCCAAAATAGCAATTTTGGATAGCAAAGACAGATGACCTTTTGTGCCTCGGTAGATGGTTGCTACTGTATAAAGGACTCTAGGAAAACCCCACAAGAGTGGACTAGAGAGCTCCAGAGTCCTCACAACTCTAAGATTCTGCTTCTATTGCTTACCATCCCTCTGTCCAGCAAACATATTCCTGACCACCCTCTATTAACCAGCTACTAGGCTAGAGGTGCTGTGAACATGGAAATCAGAATATAGACAGTGACCACATACTGGGTAGAAGTGCTGGGATGGAGGTGGGCATGAGGGAGGCCTCTGGAGGCTCATGACTGCAAACCTTGGATGGAAATGTCATTAGTGGGAGGCAGCCAATCAAAGAGCAGGACACTGCAGTGGGAGAACTGAGAGTGTACAGAGGCCTGTAGGCCCGGGAGGACAGGAGGAGAATAAAGTTGAGAAATTGCTGGAGCAGGAAGTGTCTTATAAACTAACCTGAACATTAGGCTTTAGGACTTCAGATTTAAGGAATAACCTTATCTGATTTGCATATTTGACAACTGGCTTGACTGATAAATTGGAAGATGGAGTGGTGTTACCAGTAAAGCATCCTGGGGTTCCTTAGGTTTCTCACCTCTGATATAAGGGGCTTGGACTGTTCTGTATCATTATATGAGAATAAACTCATTCAGTGTCCTCCTTTGTAATTTCACTTTGATTCTCAAGCCCTTGGGTCTCTGGGCACTGATGGAGTAACATTGACAATGTCATTCGTACTTCACTCATGCTTCCTTGTGATTCTTAGGACTTCCAGATTTCAGTAAATAGTGACTACCCAGGCTCTTGTGTTTCACAAGATCACTCTCCAAATAAGATCCATTTCTGTCCATAACCCCCAAATTTTGGGACCATTAGTTGAGACAGCAGAGTTTTTCTTTCTATTCCATTTTCCCCCAAAGGATCTGAAGGTCTTTGTTACCCAGTTCTCCTTTTACAAAAAGGTAAGGTAAAATGAATCACAATCCTGGCAACTTCTCCTTTTACATCATTAAACATAACTACTGCTGAAATGATTATTTTTACCAGTTACTTCCACCTGGTACAGGGCTACACGCTTTTAATATTCCATCTATTTAATCACCTCATCCCTTGCAAGTACAGACTATTAGTATTTTCACTTGTAGATGAGGATGCGGCTAAAAGGAATTAAGTAACTTGCTCAAGATCAAAATGATGACAGCTAGAATGCAAGCCAAGCTGGTCTGTAGTTTTCTGGACACCGAGGTTTTGTCAAGCCCCCAAACTTGGACATATACTCGCATATAACCTGATAAGCTGACTGGTGAGGTTACACAGGTTCATTTGTCATCCTTGTATAAATTCAAAATTCACTTTTGTATCCAGGGCTGGGAAGAGACAGTGGATGCTGCTATTTCTCACCTCTTGAAGACCTGCCTGTCAAAGAGTTCAAAGGAGCAGGCTTTGAACCTCAGCAGCCAGCTGAACATGCCCAAAGACACAAGCCGACTGAAGAAACATATCACCTTGCTCTGCGATAGATTAGCCAAAGGTGGACGTCTCTGCTTAAGCACTGACGCAGCGGCCCCTCAGACCATGGTCATGCCAGGTAAGAGCTTCATCCATGATCCCAAAACACAACCATCCTTTACCCAAATTAATGGAATGTGCCTATTTTTTTTTTATTTGGGACTTATATTTCACATTAAAGTGCTGATAAGTAAGAAAATTACTTTCACATTTCCCATCAGATATCCTAGGATCCTGCGGTAACCATTTGGATAAGTATCCTTGGGTATTTGCTTGCTAGACCTTTCTAGAATGATAGGACTTTGTTCTTCCCGCTGCTTTTAAATAGATGATCCATTTTGTTTACCTTCAAGTTAATATAAAATGGTTTAGAGGCCCTCCCTGGTGGCGCAGCGGGTTAAAGCACAGCACAAAGAAGCTAAAGCCACTTCCGCATGAGTTCGATCCCCGCCTGCCCCGGAGGTGATCACATGGCAAGGCAGACCTCTGCTGACCCACCCACTGCTCCCCTCAGCAGTGTACTTCATTGATCTGCCTGTTCGGCTCCCCGTTCTGTCTCTGGTGAATCCTCTCACCCTCCACATCTCTGGCCTATACCCCAGTTCTGTATGAATAAATAAATAAATCTTTGAAAAAAAAATGGTTTAGAGAATAAAACTTTTCAAGTTTTCCTAAGTTTAATCATATGATACCATATTTCATAACTGTAAATAGCATAATACCAGCAGCTAACAGAATCTGGATGAGTCCCATCCTTTCTACTGTTTGCAGGCTCTGTGGTCCTTGGAATAAGGGAACAAGACAAAGAAAGAGTGGATCAGAAGACATGAGTAGGCACCTATGGGTCAGGGAGGAGAGAGGCCCAGCTTGCAGGAGTAGCTAGTGATGACTTTGGGCATCTAGGTTGTCGCGCCCCACTGCAAGAAGGGAGCGCTACCAATGGTGGTGCACGTGGATTCTTAAGGCAACAGATCCCAAGTCCTGCTTCCCTCTTCTTAGCATCTCTCTCTCTTTTTTATTAAAGATTTATTTATTTATTCATACAGAACTGGGGTACACACCAGAGGTTCAGGGGTGGTGAGAGGCTTCACCAGAGACAGAGTGGAGAGCAGAACAGGCAGATAGATGAAGTACACTGCTGAGGGGAGCAGCGGGCGGGTCAGGAGAGGTCTGCCACACCATGTGGTCACCTCCGGGGCAGGCAGGGATCGAACTCATGTGGAAGTGGCTTTAGCTTCTTAGTGCAGTGCTTTAACCCGCTGCGCCACCAGGGAGGGCCCCTTAGTGTCTCTTTTAATGATAGTACCAGGGAGGATAAAGTAAATGGCTTATTCAGTACAGCAGTTGTAGCACATTTTTAGACCATAGTGCTTCTAATTACTTGCTGACTTACTCTTACAAGGTTGTATGATTATAACATTTGTTCATTTTTTTCTAGATTTTTAAATTTGTTGTCTTTTGTTACCTTTTTTTAGCTGGAAATTTATGTAATTTCACAATGACTGTGTCTTTTTTTAAAGGCCCCATTTACTTGTAGGATAGTTTTCCAACTTTTTGCTTTGAGCTTATGTTTATCTTTGGAGCTCAGGTCAATATTTTGGAGACAGCAGAAAGCTGGGTTTTGTTTTCCGACTCAGCCAGCCATGCTGTGCTTTTTGTTCGTGAGTTTGTTGCATTTACTTTAAGTTGATTACTGACATATGAAGGAACGCTAGTGACACTTTGTCTTTAGTTGCTTTTTTTTTGTTTTGTTTTGTTTTTAACATATTTCCTTTTCCAATTCATTGTGGTTTTCTTTTCTTTAAGGGAAGGTCTAATGTTGGCAAACTCCTTCGGCTTTTGTTTGTCTGTGAAGATCTTTATTTCTCTCTCATATCTGAAAGTGAGTCTTCTAGAATATGTACAGTATTCTTGGCTGACAGCTTTTACCTTTGAGCTTTTTGAATGTATTGTTCCTGTCTTTCCTGTCCTAGTGGGTGAGGTAACATCAGTTCAGACTAGAGCAGCTGCCTTACCCGCCTTTTTGCCGAGGACCCAGTGTGTGGAGCAGGCAAACATCTCCACATTGTGGCGTCCTCATTCAAAGATGTGTGCCTCTCCGCTACCTCCATTTCCCCTCCCAGGGGTTGCAGACAGCCCTGTTTTCTGTGCCCCACCTCAGACCACAACCTCCAGCATCTTCTCTCCACCCACCTCCTGTTTGATTAAATGCAAATCTCTTCAGTGCCATCTCTGTTGAAATCTACACTGGCCTTTGGTGCCCAAGGATCCTGAAGTTCCTCTCCTAACTGCATGGTTCTCTTTTGCAGTGTCCCTCCAGTTCAGTGTTAGTTGTTATTCTTGATAGTGAAGCTAGGAACTTCTTCTGTCTCCATCTTGGTAACGACTGGTCCACCTTTAGGAAGAGGCAGGGTCAGAGGAGACCCATAACGTTGCTCAGATCCTGCTATTGCAGTGGTGTTTTCACAGCCGGATGCGACTTTGCTGTTCTAAGAGCATCTGCCAGTGGGGGCCAGGCCCTGCCACCCCTTCTATGGACCAGGCCCTGCAGCTGCTGCCTCTGTGCCATCACTTCTGTGGACAAGGCCCTGACACTGCTGGGCCAGCCATGTCTGTGCCACCAAGAGCATTTCTAATATGGCATCTGCAGAAGAAATGCCTTTCCACATAGTAACAGTTCTAACTTTTTTGTCTTTATTTTGGTCTTCATCATCTTGCTATTGTTGCCATCTTTCCAACTGGACCTTCCATTTCTAGTTGTCTATCTTCTTTCCAATATTAAAAGATTATTTTCCTAAAGAAATAAACATTTAAACTTAATGAGATCATAAATGAAAGATGTTCACCTTAGTCTGTATTCAGGATGTGACTCTCCCTCCCATCTTGCTTGTTAGCGAAACAAAGAAGCCTTGAGGGAGAAGGACATGCATATTACAGTGAAAACTTAGAACGTGAGGTCTTTGATTGGCTGTTGTATCTGTCAGTTCAAGCCACAGCAGCCCCGCCTTCTCTCTACCCTTCTATGAGGTTCTCATTAGAACAGCCGTTTTGAAGTCCACATGGACACCTCGAGAAAAGAAATGCTCACTTAGTCAACTGACTGATTATGGGATTTCAATCATTTTAAAGTACCTAGACTTGGTGAAAGAAGCAACTTGGTGAAAGAGCATGGAAAATGTGTTTGTTCACAAACCAGGAGTCTGAACCAATATGTGCATCTCATTCCAAGCCTAGCTGAGTCCATTCCACTGTGGAGATTACAGTTGTGCACATCTGTGCTTTACTGACAGTGTTACAGTTCCACTCAGTGCTTTTACTTGCTGATGGCCCACTTTGTGATGCAGATTGAGGGTCTCTTCCTTCCAAGTTCATGATACTGAACTTCTAAAAATTCTCCATGCTCTAACATGTTTTGTTATTGCCAATGATAGCTTTCTTCCCTAGAAATCAACACTTTTCACATACTTATTTCTAGATTTAGCATATTTTAGAGTAGAAGAGTCATAGGATTATTGCTATTTTACAAGTTAGGAAAGACTAGATACCTTGTCCAGTTAGATGGTTACTGGAAGGGTTGGGTCTAGAATTCAGATTTCTTTACCCACTGTGCCTCCCTCAACCATACAGACCACAGTGGTACAAATAGATTTCTGGTCAGAGCTTGCTCTTGTGGAAGCTATTCTTGATCTGGTGGTTTGGGAGAAAAAGTGCAAAATAGTATCACATTTTTTTTTCTTTACTATGAGGAATCTGGGGAATATTTCATCTTATATTTGCTTTGTACTTAATTTTTATTGTCTCCATGATATGATATGATTATCACAGAGTTTATAAGAAAAGAAATGTGACTAGCTGCTTCAAGCCACTAATTGTGCAATTTAGTTTTAATTTAACTGTAATAATTATTTTAGAATATGTGAAAGTAATGTGGCAGGTTAGAATGGAGTGGATTCCTGAACACATAGCATTTGAACTTATTTCACAGACATGAGCTTTTTTTAATAGCTGGGCAGGAACTCAGAAATCATCTGGTTCGTCTCCCTCACTTAACAGCTGAGGTAACCAAGCCCTCGGAAGATGAAGTGACTTGGTGGTTGATATTAAAAGGCAGAAGTGTGTGTAATTTTACCATGTTCCCTATTAAACTGCAGATGGGTAAACATCGCAGAATAAAAAACCCATGGTCTTCTCTAGCCTCATGACTTTATGAGCCCGGACCTTGGATGTGCCCTTTCTTAGCTCCAATAAAGGCCATGATGACAACATCCTCCCTGGCATCCAGCGTTTGAAAAGCTTTTCCACTAGGAATTACCTTATGGATTTCTTTGCCTCACATTTCTCCTACTTGCCGTTATCAAAACCTTGTGACCCTTGGGTTTAGGCTAATTTTTCTGGGTGGGTTCTTTTATTGCAGGACCAGCGAACTTAACATTTCTCTTATATGCAGCTGACATCATTCTTCTGGGGAATATTACTTGTAAGGAATCTGCTTTCATTAAATATCTGTTTTCTAATCCCAGCTGTATGCATTCTCCCCTTAGATCAAAAGTCACAGAGGGCCACCAGAGTAGTGTTTTTGAATAATCTGAACACATTGTCATGCTTGTTGGTTGTCTGCTTCCACCTCGTGATAGTTCAGAAATTTGCCTGAGATTCCCAGAGACATCCGTTTATGATCTCACTATCTAGGACAATATTTTAGTGGGCCTACTCACAGCTAAGACTTGAATCTCTCAAGCACATATGCAAAACTTAATTCATTTGCTGATGGGCCTAACTTGTGATATTTGGAGAGAATCATTAACTTCTTGAAGACTGGAGCTTTGATCACCTCTTTATAGGGTTTTAAACTTTGTGCCATCTAAGTGATGCTTTGCCCACTTGGTAGACTGGGTTAGCGGTGGCCCATCAGATGGAATTTTGGAGAGCAAAAGATCTTGTAGCTGGGCAGGCAGAACAAGATGGACAGGGAAAAGGGCTTTGAGATGATCCAAGGTGATCAAATGCTTCAGGTGATTAGACTTTAATGCTGTCCAATGTGTCAGAAGTCATAATGAACCATAGCTTCAGCTGTGTTTT